GCCCCCAGTACCGGCTGTTTATAGCGGGCGACGGCTCCGCCCCGCTGAGGGGACCTGGAGGTGTGGGTGCGAGGGGAGGGGTCTCCCGGCCGGGGGAGGGGGGGCCGCGGGTGTCCCCCCGTGGGGGCTGGGAGAGGGGCCGGCAGTGGCCGGGGAGCCCCCGCGGGATGCGGGGCGGAGGACTGTAGGGTGTTCCTTCGGGGGTGCAGGCAGAGCCGGTAGTACCCAGGGCGGTGGGAAGAGGGGCCGGGGGTGCCCGGGGGATGCAGACCCCCGCTCGGGCAGAGGGAGGGGGCCTGGGCAGCACCCACAGGGTCGGGTCTCCCCCTGCCAGGAGGCAGGAGAGGGGTTGGGGGACCCCGTGGGGCGCAGCATAATACTGAAGGTTATGGGGTCCCTCCCAAATAGCACAGGAAGATGGGGGGTGCAGACCCCACATGGGGATGCAAAGGGGCTGGGGGCTGCAGGGAGAGCCCCCATCTCAGCTGGGTACCCAGCCCCATGGAGCAGGCAATGCAGGCCCTGCCCAGCCCAGCCCCCAAGGGGCTGTGTCGTGTCCCCCCCCCCATTTCGTATGAACAGCCATGACTCAGCTCTGCTGGAGCTGCCCATGCAGAGCAGCAGCACTGCATAATGGGCTCTGCCCCCCTTCCCAGGCAGCGAGGGCAGTGCTTACGGGAAGGGGTCAGTGCATCTGCCAAGGGGCTACAGGGGGATCCCTCCCACCCAGGACCCCCCTAGCTCTGCACAGCTCCCTGCCAAGAGGAGCACCACACCAGGTAGAGCCTGTCCGCACTAGCCATGCCCAGGGCCAGATCCTGCACACCCAGCCAGGGCTAGAGGGTGTCTGTTGGGGCAGGCAAGGACAGGGGCAGGGCACAGAGGGCTCCCTGCCCTCTGTGGGTCCCGAGGCAGGTGGGTCCTCGACCCACCATGTTACAGGTACCCCTGGAGACAATGTAGGGAGGGGGAAACACATGAATGGAGTAGTAGGCCCAACAGGGCATGGGCAGCTGCCCACCCCAGCACCCTGCCAA